ATATCCGTATCCTAGTCGTTGGCGATCATTGAGACCCGTCCAAAGTCGTGGAAAAGACGGACTACCGAGAACTACTCGAGGTCCATCAGAATGTTACTGAGTTAAATCGACTGCAATTCTCATGATCTTATTGGCTCCCGAAGTTTCTTTTGTTACCTTACACATGCGATGGCATAAAGGATGCTGTTCTAACAGCATCCACAAAAAAAGATTTGTTAGAGCGTCGCACGGAACCCTGGGAGTTCGTGGGCCTCGCACCTAGAGTTCCGCTTAATTAGCTCGCTATCATTCTTTTTTTTTTACTGACTTTTTTGACACGAGCTACGGACTGCTAGAAGTTTATCTGATGCGAGCGCGCCTCACTGATCTTTCTACACTGATTTATTTTAATTTAATCATAATTTTTTCATACTGTCCTCATTTTTAGCATAAAATCTTATTTTTTTTTTTGTTATGCAGAACACAATAGAAGGACGTCTTGTTTACGCTCCCATAGTTGGCCGGCTGCATTGTGGCAGTACTCACGTGGATCATAAAGGTTACTGGGAAATGAATGGATTCGGTTTAATGAGCATTTATAAATCAGACTGGGTACGGTTCAAAGGTAAACAACATCAATTTTCTGTTGAAGGCTCATATCTAAAAAAAAATATTTATTTTAATTTCATCGATTCCTTTATCTTGACATGCAATATGCAGATATTTCCCTCCTCAATCACTCAGTATATGGTGATATATTTTATCGAAGCAGTTACCATCTCAGGTCAGAGAAATTCTACGAAAATTAAAAGCAATTATCTTGAACATAGCTATAAAAAAAATCGAAATTCATCAATCTCCGCATGGTTACGTTTGAAATTGTGAACACTCTTAGTTGATGGAAGATGTGTTTCTTGTTATTAATAATTGGAATTTTAAATTCCTGACAATTTTCAATGTCTCCTGGCCATACCGCATCAAACACACTACCACAAAAATTCTTTCTCTTTGGCCATCGTAGCTTGATAAGAAATAGCACACAAACTGCAGTTACAAACATGACAGTAAAACGCATGCTGGAAAATAAGATTAGTAAACTCTACTTGACGTTTCGTATGTTTCGACATACATATTCACAAGTGACAATTAAAAATACACGTGGCGACTAAGTTTGAATTTAAGATAAGTAACTAATTAACCTGACAATGAACAAAAGAAAAAATTTGCATATACAAAGATGCAAACTAATACAGATAAAGCTTATCGCTGCTGACATTATCGTTTAGAGTAGGTTTAAGTTCTTGAATTAATAGAGTCTCCTTTATCTTGGAATGAGTATCAGAACGACCTTTTGTTAATATCTTAAAGTGGTCCCATTTCATGTTCTGACCAGATATTCCCAAATGTCAACCTTTCCCAAATGTCAAAGGTTGTTTATAAGGCTAGTTGTTGGGACTGCCCGGATTTTTACACTGGAAAAACAAAACGTAGATTGCAAGTGCCTGTCATACATCTGCTATCGTGGACCACGTCACGTCAACTGGTCACAACATGAAATGGGACCACTTTAAGATATTAACAAAAGGTCTTCCCAACAACTAGCCTTATATACAACCTTTGACATTTGGGAACGGTTGACATTTGAGAATATCTGGTCACAACATGAGAGCTTAAACATACTCTAAACGATAATGTCAGCAGCGATAAGCTTTATCTGTATTAGTTTGCACCTTTGTATATGCAAATTTTTTTATTTGGTTCATTGTTATGTTAATTTGTTACTTATCTTAAATTCAAACTTAGTCGCCACGTGTATTTTTAACTGTCACTTGTGAAGATGTATGTCGAAACATACGAAACGTCAAGTGAAGTTTACTAATCTTATTTTCCAACATGCGTTTTACTGTCATGTTGGTAAAAAAAAAAATAAACACAGAGGGAAGAAAAGGTCGGAAGGTAAACACACACAAAAAAGCCTCCCCTCCCCNTCCTCCTAGTTCAAAGTGTGGATCTGCCACTGAGTCTTGTATATTATCTTTAGGAATGAACACTGAGGACTACAAATACAAATGGGGCGGAGAGGACTGGGACCTAGTAGACCGTGTTATTAATGCTGAGTTAAAAGTTGTTCGAATAAAGCATCCGGGCCTATATCATCATTATCATACGAAACAAAAGTCTTGGAACTAACGACTCCAACACAGAAAATTCCCCTTACTCCTGTTGAGGACTAACAGATTGTTGACGATCAAAGTTCCGTTACTCCGCGAACTTTCCTGCGAAAAAAAGTCGTGAAGACCTTTTTCTTTTGTTCCGCAACTAGGAGGAGCACCGGTGGTTTCTCCAGCTGGTTGATTTGCATGTGTTTGTTAATTCTATAATATCTTGAACAATATTTCAGAATCTGAAGGGAGATATCTGGAATGTTTATGTTTTATTTGGAACATTTTCGGGCTAACAAACACAGAACTAAAGTTATTATCTCATAACATGACTTGGTTTTGATCTCGTCTTTGCCATGAGATAAAATAAATTTAAAGGTACCTGCACTAAATATGTTTCAAAATTTTTAGTGCGATGTCACCGCGATAATGTGAACTAAACGCATGAACTACTTTTCCAGTGCATATTAGGAGAGGGTTAGTTTTGCTTGCCAATCAGCAATAAACAAAAACGATTCAGTCACATGTCGATGACACAATCGTTTTCATAACCTCGTTCCCAAGGTCTATCTCCAGGAAGCGAGAAGAAGAAAGATCCGTTCCATCCGATATCAATAATCGTTGCAAGCAGCGATAGCAATGACTAAAAATCCAAACGACATTACGGCTATGCCAAATGGTAAGGCATACGGTTTGTCACTAAACTGATAAAGAGAACGATTATTGAGACCAACCTTTTCGTAACCGGGAGTCAGGTAATACCCTGTGAGGCAAATGCCTCCCAAAAAAAAAGCAAACGAGCCCAAACAGAACACATGGTGTCACACGTTGCTTCATTTGTTCATTGTCGGGCATCTTGACCTCGAAATCTGTTGAGGAGAAAGACTTCCTGTCATTCCTGCTATACAATATTCATTATTGTTAACAACTAATCTCAGAGAGTTCATACGAGCACTATGGATCTTGGAAAGTTCTACCCAAGAGAGAAACATTTCTAAAACCGTTGGATTCCGCGCACCAACGGAATCCGCAGGTTTGAGGTTCGACTCCACCTGAGAACTCCGAATTTATTCTTTACCTCACGCTTGTGACAAAACAAAATACGTCACTTTCTCTATTTCTTTACTGCACTCAAATCTGTCTCTTTTATAATTCTGTTCACAGACAAACACCTCATTTGAGCACAAAGTGCGCTGGTTCTGTATGAGTAAGTAAGCTTCAGATTTCCCGCCGTCAATGGCATTTTTAGTTGTTTACACCTGGATCCTTGCTTCTCGTTAAAGTAAGTCGTCGTTTATTCGATCGGCCAGATTTGATACAGAGTGAGAAAGGACGGTGAGGTGAGAGATCAAAGATAGGGCAAGAATTTCTGTTGCCCCACCCCCTCACCTCACCTTCCTTTCGACTGTCACCAACCCCCTGGTACAAATTTCTTTAACTTCTCAGTCTTTCGCTGCTGTAAAAATCAAAGATGGCAGCTATAATTTTCACCAAGAAAATACTGAGCACTAGCTCGATAAAAGAAAAACGCCTGCATCGACAAGGAAAAAAAAAAAAAAACCTCATCTTGAACTAACCAGTGTGCTGGTATTACAAATCAACAATTAGAGTCAGGAACTGTTTCGTTGCAGTTTCTCCCTCTCTGTTCAAAGTTCCAGGCTGGAAAAAAAAGAATGAATGAATAAATCACCGAATAAATTCACGAAGAATAAAAGTACAATAATTCCCTTTCAATGTTCTTCCGAATTCTTGCCCCTGTGGGTAGGACGCAACTAACATTGAGTAACGGTTGATGAGTTGAGAATATATGGGAGATCTTTCTTAGCTTATCGCAAGAGGGAATTACGGACTAGAAATGCCTCTGTTGGAGAAACCACAGAGCTGTTCTAAAGTCTGAGTGACTATGTTAATTTATATATATATATATATATATATATATCTTTGAGAGGGAATAGTTATCGGTGTTACAGCCCCCATGAATCGAGATGCTAGAATTCGTAAAATGTTATCAGCTGAGGGGTGGGGAAGGCCAATACTCCATGTTGTTATTACTCAGAATCTTTTTTTCCTTCTTTGAAATATTTAACGTCAAATCCGGTTTGGAAGCATAATAAATTACGAACTAAAAAACCCTCCGCTGTGAGAAAGAATGAAGTTATTGATCTCAGCGGAAGCATAATCCTCAGTATTACGCTATTCTAAAAGTGTGCTCTCTTAGAGACGAATTTCCTGTCTGCTGCAAAAAACTTTTTAATAAAGAGTTTAAAGACTAAATTGACTAAGAAATACTTCGAGTCAAAATTGAGCTAACAAGCCAACTGGGAGCAGTTGGCTTGTTAGCTCAATTGGTAGAGCGCTGCACTAGTATCGCAGAGGTCAGTGGTTCGAATCCCGTACAGGCCTGAAATTTTTTTCAGGTCTGATTTTCACTATTGCTCAAATAGTGCTTCACTGCGAAGGATCGTGCTCATATACATAAATCTATAGATTTGTTGTTAGAAGCGAAATGTATACGAATTTCTTACTTAAATTGAAGATACCGCTATTTACTTCAGTTGAGACTCCGCAGTCAGAAAATGTCGTGGCACATTCTTAAAACTTCACGAAAGCCATAGGTTTAGACGAGAGGACGATGTTATAGTGCGGCTTGTAAACAAATATGACTCGGTCCAGATCGAACTTTTGCTTTGTATAAATCAGTTTCGCTGTAATATCTCAATAGTGTACTTTGCAACGATGGCTTGAAACACTGAGTTAGAGCTGTCCTCAGTTTTCGAGTTTGAGTTGAAATGACTCCCGAAATATTCAGATGAGACGAGGAACTCACCTTCTTCAGACTTCTTCGGAGTGTCGACTTTCTCGTTAAAGACTCAAAATGAAAGGCGGAAGAAGTGCATTAAGTCTCCTATTAACAATTACACCTAATATCAACTTAAAGCCAGAGGGGGATAAAGGGGGTAGGGGAGAGCGGGAGGTAGGGTAGAGGGGGGAGGTAGGGGGGTTGCAATGAGAAAGTGACTTATTTTAACCCTTTAACTTTGTGAGCTGGTCAAAATGAATATTCTCCTCGCGATTTTGATACAACATCCTGCAAGGAGATAACGAGGAGAGACGAGGTTATCAGATTGAAGTTTTTATCTTTTGTTTCGTTTACAAGGCAGGGTGAGGCGGTCAGACAAGAGAATTTCACAAAGGATTTTGCACATCTTGGGAGTTGCAAGGTCAATAAGGATTTATTATTTAAAAGTTACAGCGAGAGAACATCATGATCAGCAGTATTTTTGTTTATTGTGAAGGAAAGATACATCTTTACATGTTCAAGTACATATTTATCATAAATGAAACTGAAAAGAAGTTTATCACAGTTGTGAGAAACGAAAATATTCCCAGAATTTCCAGAAACTTTATTCTTTAGAGAGACCGAGTGTTAAACACTTTCCCGAGAATTTTGTAGACTCTATTC